CCGCCGCGTCCCCGCTAAATATTTCAGCGTGTAATTGCACAACTTGCAATTCCCTTCCGTCAAAGCGTCGCATCATTACACGCTTGAATTAATGGACGGAGATGCCCCCCCCTTCCCACACCCCGCGCATTCCGCCCTCCCCACCGCTGAGAGGAAAAAAACTACGTCGAAATCGCCTAACTCTGCGGCGTCCGCTCATTTATTATGGAAGCAAGAGCAAAGGAAAAAACCTGGACGTCTTTAGCTGTACCTCCGGCCGGCGCAGGGTTGCCACAAACGGTACTGCTACCTCGCAGCGCGGATATAAGAAAGGCATCTTTAACAAACTTTCATACTGTATCTAACGATCAATATTTAGTATAGATTTCAATACTTATATTGTGAACGCCCAAGGTTATTACTGCAGGGTCGTATTGATAGAAAGTGGTAACAAACTATTCGTCTTAAAATACGATAAAACAACACAAACGTTTTTTCCCAGAAACATTAAATAGTGTGCTGAACATTAAGTAATACGCTGTCACTGTTCATATTATAAAATGTTTGCCCATGTCTGACGTGTGTCGCTATTGCCGACAGCCCTAGTCTCTCGCTGCTTACGGCCTCAAGTCATCCGAAATACTTATATTACAGAGTATTGAAAGTCGAGCGGGAGAGATAACAATGCGGCCTCCGGCGGCGGCGCCAACTCACTCCTACCTCTTTACACGCCTGCACACGTTATATGTCTTTTTTAATCATGACGAAAGATTATGAAAGTATGACAGGAGTAGGAGAGGGCATTGCCTTCCGGTGCGGTGATACGGGATAATATAGGAACTTTATTAATTTGCAACATTGGTGCTCGCCGGCGGACGCCGCGCGGTCGCAGGCGGCAGGGGATTTCACGCTCCACCGACGGACAAAGAGACGGGCATTACTTACGCCCTACCGCGCCGCCCGCCCGCCGCGTCTGCCCGCCCACGCCGCGCCGTCTGAACAATGCCCGCCAGTGTGCGACGCCGACGCTACATTACGAGATGCTCCCGTAGTACGTTAGGAAAATACTAGTTCTTCTCACATCTTTGCCGACTTATCATTTTATGTTTAAATTTCAGGGATACAAGCCGTTTAATTTTGAGAGATGAGTGATAGGGTCGCGGCGTGTTGCAACAGATATACATGACACGGTGCACCGGCGGCCGGGTCTGACACTACATACATTGATAACATTTACTTTGTCACTATATTATACCTTAAGTTACGGAATTACATGTGTAACATGTGAATCTGAAATGATGAAAGAAAAATATTACCTCAAAGCCTCTTTTAGTCAGATTAAATATTTTTGAATTCCTTACAAAAATATCCGCGGCCAAATCGGAAAATTTAATTACTCGCCCTAATTACAGCAAAAATAAAAAAAAAATCGTAAGCTCATCTACCACGAGACGGAATAGGATGCGACTTTGAACCTTGTGGTGAAGCAACAAAGTAAAGTATCGAGTGCACGTGTTCCGGAGACAACGGGCGAGGGCGCCGCGCTCTCTATCAACCCCGCATCGTGCACTGCCTTCAATGCCATGACACGTCGGCAGCGCTCGCTGCTCGTAGCTCGGCGCACAACAGCAATTAGCAATGCACGCACCCGCGCCCTACCGCTTGCATTGCTTACCTGTCAACGATATCGCTCGAGGGACACTTCGCCAGGGGGAATGGGGTAGACTCCAAACATGTACAAGAGATATAACTTCTACATACAATATCATAGTATCGGTAGCATCTTATGAAAAGCTGCACCTTCAGTAATGTAGCGCTTTAAGCGTTCAGCGTACAACCTGCATCTGCAAGTAGCAAGGCTCGCTGAGATAATACAGTTCGGAGTCTACAGTCCGGAGTTCGCGCTTCGCCCCCGGCTGCGCCGCGAGGCAGATCCCTAGCCGTTAGAGTTTTTCACAAAATATCTTTGTCTCGGTACGAGCACTCACATTTCGCTAATTAGACGCCGAAATGTCGTTGTACCGAGGATTTTTTTTCGTAGCGACATTACTGTTTTACAAACTCAAATAAGTAGGTACAACACTAAGAGTCCTTAGGCTTCGAAGTCGGCCCTAATTAACTAACTTATTCCTTTTGTAACAACATCTCCGATATCATGAAATGTACTTTCATTAAGTCTACTTAACAAAATATAAACAAATAGATTATTTTTTATTTCAGGGTTAAGACGAGATAGAATCGAGTAAGTTTGTTTCCCGAATCTGCCAATAATTAGCCGAACCTTGGCGGCGGGTTAAGCTACTCGAGTCATAAATATCTTTAAGGGATTGGGGTATAGTCCCATATATTAAAGTAAAACAACACAATCGTCGACATGTTCGCACTATTGAATGTATGATAATGAAATTTAAACGAGCGAAATGCATGCATCCATTACGTTATTGTTAATTATAATGTGACAAGTGTCAGGTTGTGCGCGTTGTTGCTGTGGGGCTCACCTCGAGTTCCTCTTCCGAAGAGTGGTGGTCGTAGAGCTGGTCAGGGTCCGGCGCGCCGCACGCCCGCACCACCGCCGCCACGTCGCCGCCGCCGCCGCCTGCAAACACAACATGCAGTGTCATCAGTCAAGCATTATCTGCCGCCGCCTTTAGCACTACTCCCTTTGTCTACTCTATGAAGAAGTTCGTATTCAACTCGCTTCGGTTGCGGCGGCAGTAGTTCTACGAACACTCGATTGTAAACGCATAGCGCATGACTAGAATTAGAGGTGAAGCGGGGAGTAGAAGAGGGTTGCGGGGAGGGGAGGTTAGTCTTGAACTTGCGAGGCGCAGCGGGCAGGCCGCGCGGCGCCACAGTCACACAAACAAACACAGACACTAAATGTGTTAACAGAGCATGTGATTGTGATTCACCTGTCGACATGTTTATTAATGTTTCCAATCGCCTCATTTATAAGGTACTGATTATGTAGATTTATGTAAACACGACAGTAAACAATTCGGTTATTAAAATTAGGCTACAACTGTAACAGAGTTTACAATTACAAATAACATATGCTGAGGGCGGAGAGCACCGTGCTCGAGGTTGGCGATGTCTGCTAGATTAAATACTTCAACACTACATCAGTGTCCTGAGTCCTGAGCGTCCACGCAGAACCCTCACCTAAATGTGCCTCCTATCATTATTATTTCACGACATATATTTTTAACTCGATCTTTTCTACCTTTCCTACTTGTTTTATTACGCACTGCCAATAAATCCAATGCTTTATTGAATAATACTAAGATTAGTAAACAATAATATTGCTAACGCTAAATACAAATCCTACATGAGTACCAAAATATACGAGTACAGAAGCGCACAATTTAGTAGGAATGCTAATATTACCAAAATTTCGACGTCTAATGGTGATTGATAATTTGTAGGTTCGTAAAGAATACGTTAGGACAGCGTCTGTATGCCGACGTCGTTATGTGTGAAGCGTCACGTGACCAAGGGCCGCCACCACCGCCACCGCCGCAGCGGCGAGAGTCGTCGAGGCGAGTGGTGGCCGCACGCACCGCGTTGCACACGTTGCACATATTTACGTGTGTGCACAGTGCAGCACGGTGCACGCACAGTGCCGCGGGGCGAGGCGGTGCGGGGCGCGGGCACGAATTGGGTCGCCAGCGGTCGTTGCCCCGCGAAGGTTCAACAGATATTTTTCTACGCCGCTCGGCGCAGCGCCTACACCGCGCCGATAGTTTCGTCTCTATAACTCTCGCTAACTTAACATATATTTAAATAACTCGATTGCTATTTCACTTGGAAAGTCGATGAGAGACCAGCCAGATGTTCAAGTCGTAATATAAACTTCTTTCGTTTTCGTAAATATGATTTCTGTCACATGTACAGACACGCGTATCCAGAGCCTTCGCTGATGTTACCTAACATCGGTATCGGAAGATGCACACGAGCTTAATTCGTACTTTGCTCTAAGTTTTCCCTCAGCACCTATGTTCATGTACAAAGAAATACTTTCAAATAAAAAGGATCTCAGTAACCAACTAGCAAGTTTTATAAAATTTATATCTAGTGGGTGATAAAGTGATGTCACAAGTCGGAGCGGATTGAGTGTTCACAAACACCGAAGGATCATAGTAAACTCATCACATCAAATGATTTGCTGGTACTCATTTATTTTCTTTTATGTAAGCAAATTATAATTCACACACGATGATAACCCAGTAAATGGACTATACGTACTCAAGGTCATTCGTAATATCAATAAATAAATAAATCACAGTATATAATTATTCTTTGCATTTGCCACTTATTGTAATACGAAAGTTCAAGGCTATTACATTATATCTACTTGGGTCGTGGTTTGGAAGCCAATAAACATAGATCGTGGGGTCGCTATCGCTAGGGCAATTTGACTTCAAACTTATAATTTGGCGATCGTGATGTGGCGGTCGTTTCTTTGCGTATCGCCACAAGCACAGCGGAGAGACAAGACGTTCTCGTACGGCTCTTGTTGAATAATAATTGAAAGGTGCTCGCAGCGGCGGCGGCGGCCGGCCCACTCCGCGCTGCCGACGAGATCCTATCGCAACATTGCCGGTTTACGGCAGGTCGCACACTGACACTCTATGCCAGTGGAATAAAGTACAAAATCAAGTAAACGCACGTGACTAAAGCCTAAACGATTAGGTTGCGAGGCTTAGATCAAGATTCAATGCGCACTTGAGGCGGGCGAGTCACGAAATGTTAAGTTACCATACATTCATGTTGACAAGCGGACGGTCCGGTTATCTAACTCTCTGCCATGTAATTTATTCCAGTTTATCCAACTTATATGAGAGATACTTTTTGCACTGTTTAACATATTACAGTGTATCGTAATAGTAACGATTGATTCACGCGTAGATAAAGGCAAAATAAACTTGGTAAATAAGTCTAAACCTTTCCCCTGCTGTGTGCTTGTACCTCCCAAATCACGATTACTTCTATAATGGTTAGTGAAAGGCGTATTTCGTGTCTTCGATGGTGTATCACATTAATTTAATCTGCGTTGCTATGAATTGCACACAGATTTGAGATAAAATTGGCTGGCATATTAAGGTCGTGTGTGAATAATAGAGCGCCGTAAACGTGGACCAGCAGATGTCAGTACTGCGCGGCCATGGGACGGTTCAGGGTCACAACCGCTACGCCTGCGTTACGCTTGTTCACGTTATTTACATACAGACACAGCTTCAATCGCCGGCGCGCCCACGCGGCATTTGTGGCAACCGTCGCCCACGTGGCCCTCCAGTTAGTGTACCATCTCACTACAGCTACAATACACATTAGCACCTGATGGACGCAAACATATCTACCATCTAAAAGTTTTTTGTAAGTGAAAATTTTTCAGCTTAAATCAATTAAGAATCGTTTATTAGCAGTTGGAGGATATCGGGCAAAGTAATATGGTGCTGGTGGTTAGTATCAATTATGCAAGATATAACCACGTGTTTAGTATTCATTATAAATTACCGATTATACCCTAACCGTTGCTCATGAACGTTATCAAAGAAAGATCTAGATTAGATCTAGAGGGGCGGGGGGGCAACTAATTTTCACATAGTCTTATTAGACGTAGTTACCATTTCTGATTTCATGTTTCGAGTGTCAAGGGGGTAAGCATTTGCCTCGAGTGATTACCAATCACATCTACTGAATAGTAAAGAAAACGCGTCGCACACTAACGTAATGAAGCAAACAGCGATATCTCTCACAACCACACGTGTTCGATGATTCAGTAATTTTTATTAAAAGTTTTGTTAAACATTAATGAGTGGAAATTGGAAAACACCCCCGCCGCTTAGCATGGTGGCAAGCACCATAAATACGCCTTGGAAACAAGAAATCGAACCTGTTCCTGCCAACACTAGCAACTCCTGTTCCTAGATTCTTAACTAGTTTGATGGCACCCTCAAGACGGTGATAAGCGGGTCCAGTCAATTGATCGCAGAGCATTACTCGACGTGGCCGTCCTTTTCACCGAAGCCACGCAATACAATGCCGCGCCGCCATTTTCATACCTACATGAGTCGATACTAAATGACGTTTCGCATGCGTCGCCGGCGCTCGGTCTATATCATAAATACGTATGGTAAACATAAGATACACTAAAGCGGTCTTGTCCATCTGTTATGCTCTACATGTTTCATTATTTATTATTGTCTATCATGTTAAGATTCATATCAATTTAATGTCATATCCCCTTAAACATCAACGAATAGTAATTGTCGATGCGGACAACGTGGCCGAGTGCGGTGGCGTGGCGATGGCGAGGGGCGCGCGCGGGCAGCACTCACCTCGGCCGCGCGCAAGGCCAAGGTCACCTCCTCCCCTCCCCTGCCTTCCTCTCCCCTCACTCGTCATCATCCCTACCCCTCCTCACACACAATGCAGAGTGCGCGCTTTTTGCGCCATGATGTAATCAGAAATTCGGCGCGCGCGCATCGGCAACGCCGCAATCTGCTCGCCAACAGCCCACCGCCGCACCGCGCCGCACGTCACGCTCATAAACAAAGTGTTTCTTCGTAACTTGTGGCTTTGTTTGTCAACATCGGTCGGCCTCACAACGTTTTACGAAAAATATCATTCAACATTAGTTTGATAAATTGGCAACAAAGAGATTTCAATACCGCGTCTTCGACACACGACATCATATCGCCAGCCAACATATGCAGATCAGGTTCTGTACTGTTTCTAACTATAAAGGTAGAGTTGGCTAATATTACAGCCTAATCGTGGCATCGAGAAAGCGTCGTCGATATGTCCTGTTTCTATGCCCGCTATGGATTAATGTTTTTTCGATTTTCAAATTTCAAATGAACATATTTGCGGCGTTCTTACAGCGAACATTGTGATGCGAACTGCACACATCGGCGAAGAAATAAGGTGTCTTCGGCGGGGGCGTGTGTGGGGTGACGACGATCTAACGTGCGTCTAACGATTGCAGTTGTTCATCAAAACGCTTTTAATTATAATTGCTTTTGCAGTTGCAACTGTAGTTGTATAGATTATTAACTAACGCTCTATAATCGCTTTGAGTGCAAATCAAATCTATTTGTGGCGACCGGCACAGGAAAATCTCTGAGCGACAGCACGGCGCATGACGCCCAACATATCTATTGCTAACTAAATAATATGCAACAAGTTAAGTCGAATAATAATAGGGGACATAAAACACAAAATAAATCTATATATCTGCAACCTCTCATGATCAAAATAAGTGGTGTGTGGTCAATCCGTTGCTTGAACAAACTCAGTCATGTTGAGATTAGTTCAAAATAAAAAGTTAAAAAACATTATGTTGAAGTCTCTCATTAGCGTTAGTACATAAAACAAGATTACATAATATCGTTGGAAATATAAAACGTTCTGTGCAAAATAAGTTAACATGATATAATTGAGTTTACGTCGCGCCGCATTTGGACGCAATCCATCAGCTGAGCGCCGCGTCGCGTCTCCTCGCTCTCGAGTGAGTGCACGCGGCGCTGCATATCTCACTGGGTTTGTCTGAGTGTGCGCCTCACATCAATGCTAATGATGTGGAAGAGGCGAGAAATAATCCAAAGTAATATTCTTAATATCTGGCTACCTTGTTGCGTAACAGGCATTGATTCTAGATTGGTATTTGTTTTGAATTTTAGCTATTTAAGTACCAAAGTGCTTACGTAAATTAACGTTCCGAACTATTGTGCCTAAGTTTAAGATATCTGTGTATTGTGTAAAAAGATATCGCCGATAACATCAGAAATGTGACGTCACTTCACACACAGAGTACACCGGAACAGGGCACGTACTCGCACGTAGCGCCTGCCAAAAATGTCCTCCCCTCCATTCCATTAACTGCACCGTGTACCCCGCGCCCCGTCTCTACGTCGTACGGTGGGACTGGCACCGTAGGGTCTTGCTTTGTACCGACAGCATAAACTTAGTACAACAGTACTTTAGATGGAACAGTGGTACATCCCAAAGCAGTTATAGTCGCTGTACGAATACCAATGCTTTCTGTTCGTCGTACGAAGATGTTGAAAAACACCGGTCGTTTTGCTTTTTAGTGGATAGAACGTGGCCGCATGCTCGATTACAACATTTTACGCACGATTTTGTCGTTCAGTCGCTTGATGGAAAAGAGAAGTAGCTTGTGCAAATGGCCAATATTAAATTATTTTAAACACTGATTTCTTATTTCATTGAAAACATTACACTCGTAATAGATATAAGAGATGTATATAGAAGGATGTAATGTGTAACATGTATGCGGACAGATGGGAGCAGACAGAGGCACTCACTGAGGTCGGTGACATCACTCCACTTCATCACCACGTCGGAGCACAAGTCGCCTGCAACAACACATAGCACACGTTAGTTTTACCTTAGCTATCATTACAAACTTAACATTACACTATTTAGTGACTGAATGCGGAGTGCATTGCATACAGTTGAAGGTATTGGGGAAGGCCCAGCAGTAGTCTGCTATTGGTTAGTGAAGATAATGCCACTATTATAGCAGCAAAGATATTATATAAACATAACTAATCATTGTAGTCGCCCCAACTACCAATTAACTAGTTCGCGTGACGCTACGCTACGACATAAACAGGTAACAACTATAAAACGCCATTAATATAGCCTTAATTATTTCTTGTATCGTGAGTAATAAGTAGTCGCGCAAATTATCACATTATTTATTTGCAGCGGCGCAGCGCGGTTGGGACTGTGAGTGGGAACGTGGAGACACAATGGCGGCCGCTGTCATTGCAATCAGTCGGTAACCTCCGACACAAAAAGTCCGCCATACAACCGCATCTTTCCAGCGGCATTTTGCTTGATATCTAGCGAAATACGCAACGAGCTCGGGCGTTATAAATGAGATTCTGTTTCTTAGTAATTGAAATGTATAAATGCCTTAAAGACTTAAAACCTATTGATTGCTTTCAAGATTACTGCGTTAGGGTTTTAATTTATTTTTGTAACATAAGACAGATTGGAGAGCTAGCTACCTCGGTTAGTGGGTGAGCTACAAAAGACTTAACAAACACATTAGAGGGTTAATGTCTTTCTGCAAGCGATGCCGAGTAGAATTATGACGTTAGTTCAAACCGAAGTAAAGCGAGTGATTGTAAGATTGCGCCGACACGAGACTATAGGCTATAGGCTGCAGGCTTCGGGCAACATGTAAAAGTGCAAGTTGGCGGGAGCGCGACGCCGGCGAGGCCGTGACCGGGTCGCCGGGCGCCCCCCGCACCCCCCGTCGCTACCCGCAGCACCCGCCGCCGGGTCGACGACCTGCGCCACGTACGCGCTTTTGCTCGCTCCCGACCCGCGCTCAATCTCCGCGCCCACTTTTATTTCTATGATCTTTGACACTGCTCTTAATTAATATCAAGTAATTAAGCAATATACTTGGGCTAAGAAACCGAAGCAAGTCCCGAAAGCTTAGAGAAGAATAATGGAGACGAAGAGTCTTACTTTTTATAGTAAGTTTAACGATAATTATCGAAACCAAAGATAGTTATCGAAACCACCGAGATAATTGTAGGAAAACGGACTTACAGATATGGAATGCTAAAGATGTGGGTGACAGCATAAGAGGCGAGAGGCGCGGGCCTGCATCATGAAGGTATCGTACTGAAACAGGGCCGACTGCTGTGTGTTTGTATAACATGTGCCTAACTATCTACAAAGGTCTGCGATAACAATGCATCTGCTAAATATATAAATATTTATTTTTATTTGAACTAGCGGCCGGCTCCGGTGGCGCACGAACACCACATCACTTATTTGATACTATTTTTTGCCGTAAGTTTTCATCGAAATAATAAAAAAAATAATAGATTACTATTACTAAAACTGTTCCCTTGTAGGTATACCATACGATACTTCTCGGAACTATTTTTGAAACTAACACAAACAGTGATTTACGAATTAAAGAGAAACTTAGTTAAGTCTGAGAAGATTAAATAGAATGGGATCATATAGATCTTCGTAGCAAAAACTGGTACGAACTACTTAATTAGGAATAAAAAAGTAGTGGGTGGTGGATCATTCGGCGCAGAGGGGGGGAGGCATTGCGGGAGACGAGGCGGACTGGCACGGCGGACAAAAAACCAGTTCGGAGAATCCTCCGGGTTCACATAATCACAGTTACTACAGAATGGCATGGACAGTTTTTACGCGGGGGAGGGGTGGCGGGGAGCGGCGCGGAAGGCGACTGGAGCGCGGGAGTGCTTTTTGCGATCGCCGGCGTCGCACCATGTAGGGACACGGGACATCAGAGGCTTCATTCACAGAATGGCCGCTGGAAACAAAAAAAATCAATTCACAAGCTCCACGTCGCCTCGTCAATGTTCGGATGTTTTGTCGCAAAGTTTACGTAACGATGGCAGTTGCCTAACGAGCGGTTGTAAGATGTACGGAATGGAGACTGCGATGCCAGCTCCATGGTATTGGTATGCGCGTGTGCGGCTTCCTAGAACCCGCTGCCAATTAACGTGCCCAGCTTTGGTGCGCAATGTTTAATCGATGAGCGAGGCGAGTGGCGCGACTCCCGATATATTTTCTCGAGTACCGAAATATCCACGAGTTACGGCCTAAAATCAGATAAGGAATGGGCTATCACACATCGTTCATGTAACTCGCAATCATAGTCCATTCCTGTCGAACCCTCAGTCACACAAATATAAAGCAGGGAGTTTTATCGCAACTCGACCCATCTGATCAAACAGCCATGTCGCAGCTGGCCAATGGCCGACATGTCTCACCTCTGTGCTAACCAACTTCTCTAAAGATTACAATTTTGTTTTTCACAGCGACACGTGACTCCGTCAGCGTGAAATTTAGACAGTTATTATTTAGACATTTTTGACAGACTTGACGGTTACTCGCTTATATTGTTTTTAAGTATAATTACTAATTATTAATCTAAGCAATGATGTTATTGTTAAAATTACTACCAATTTTATATACGCCAAATTCAAGGTCAACAATCATGAGTGGAGCGTTATCTTGCATATTATTGTTGTTATCGGTATCGGAATAACGGCGGCCAGTTGTTTTGGTGTTATAACGCTGATATCGCAAATGCTGTGGAAAAGTTGGCGAGTGAGCCGCGCAGCAGATAGCGGCCGCGGCCAGACCGCGCGGCGGCCGTGCGCTCTGCGCTGTACGGCTCTGTACTGCGCTTCACGCTACGCTGCCCTGGGGCCCGCCGCGGCCCGCACCCGCCGGCTGCGGGCAGACGCCCACAGACGACGCGCCGCGCTCGCCAAGGACGCGCTAACGAGTTTCTCTTTTGCTAATGAGACAGATGAAGACCAGCACAGGATTACAAACTGTAAGCGGCAGTGGCGGTAATGGCCACTCGGTGGCCTCAGCACTAAAAGTCACTTTTTTCTCAGTCTGTTACAGATTAATGTCGACGGGCATAAGTCGAAGGATTTAGGATAAGTTTAAGTATTATTTAAGCGAATAATATCAGAGTAACTCATTAGTATGAACCAAATATAAGTACCTAATAAGAATAGGTTATCTATGTGCGAGATGCGAACGGGCGGAGTCAGTTGAGATAAACCCCAATAATTGCCATGTTTACAGTACCCACTGACGCTGCTCGACACATTTTATAGCGAAAGATGCAACAGACATTTTCACAACAATCATTAAAAATAACGAGAAATTACCCTTTGAATGATGTATCATATGATAAAATATTATTACTACATATGTTCTTTCTAGGCCAGCGGGGCTGACTGTGGCATAGTCACTATCTTAGGGCAGGCTTGTCGCTTGTCGCTCGCCGGCACCTCGGCGGGGATGTATATAGTGAGCTGGTGATCATGACATATGTTCTTTAGGCAGAATTACGTGATTTTTGCGCAGTTGTCTTTGGCATCGTCATACATCACCAGGTATTAGTTCTTCAGGTTAATCTATTTTTCGCTAAATCAGTCTTCACTGCTTTCTTGACCGTACCAACAGTGTACCTCCACGCTCATAACTAAAGATCTTCTATGTAATTTATCCCTTATTATACCACGCTATATTTTTATTTTATTTTATTTTTTATACCACGCTAAAGATTTCCTTCGAGCCTTTCGTATGGTATCCTATATCTAGTTTTTGTTATATGCAGGAAAAGCGTTCATTAAGATTTAATTTATAAAATACGCTTTTCGTGAGAGTTTAGGCGGTTGAGTTATTTATAAAAGTTTAAAATATAGGTATACTACCCAATATCAAGTCTCGAGCCAGCTGAATAAACAAAGCCGTTCCGAATCAATGGGCCCGTTTGCGCCGCACGCACCCACTGCATCCCTCCACCTCTTTACCGTTCACGACTAAATATTATTTAAATGCATCATTATACATAACCTTGCACAATTTTCTTCCAATTTTTGGACGAAGCACTATAAAATTGCCTAAATATGAACTTCCAGTAACAGTAGGTTCCTTTTCAAATCGTCAGATAAATGTACTCGTTACTGTGATACGCTCGTGAAATAAATGATTTGAATTTGATTATAGTATACAAACGATAGTTGGAACATCATGAAACTAAAGTCAAAACTCGAAAAGGTCGCGCGCCACACACATGAGTTCAAGTTGATCGTGAGAGCTAGAGCAGGATTGTTGACAGGCGACACGAACCGCTACGTGAGTAAAACTCTGCTTCTGCTACTTGAAAAATTATAAGAATATGCTAATGCATTAATGCATTAAATTGACGGGCCCCTCTCTAATCGCTTAGCGGTCGATAGATACGCTCAAGGGGGTCGCAGGATATCCTGTCGTCCACGGAAGCTACTATTGTGTACCCCCTAAAACGCGTATTATTACTATGGCTCGATTTCATCTCAGCACCACCTCTCACAGAAGCATGCACTTAAATTGTTTTATCAATATCCAGCATCGAGATCAGTGCTGACATTAGGCAACGGCGCGGTTGGGCGTCCGCCTAGGGCGTGCTAAGGCTAGCGAATTAGTCTCATATAAATCCTGTCCCCCCTCAAGCATGATTAAAAGTGGGTGTCGTAGAAAATTCGGCCAGGGCGCTAGTACAGCTTAAGTTCACAATACACCACGGTCAAAACCGTCGCCTACAGTTTCAAAATCTAGTTTCTGTAATCACTAAAAAGCTTTCCTAGCGTCGGCCACGGTGAGCGCTGACGATTCTGCAAAACTTTTATCGTACTATGATACATTTTAATTTTGATTTTATTAACCACGAGCTGCTCTTGAGAGTGTATTTTATATTTATATGAAATATTGTATTACTTAATTATTAACAAGCGCAGATAATTAATTCCGCTTTCCTTGCCTACAATTTGCAGTTTAGGCCTACAGTACGCACGACCAAGCGTCGGTCGATGACAGTGCAAACAAGATTGTTATTTTTTTATATCTTTTAGTTGCTGCAACTATTGGAATCGCCGTACAATTCTTGCAAATGCTAGGAATTACTAACATTATCTAAATTACATAGAAAGATGTAATATAAGTGCGAAAGTTTAGTTGGATGGATGTTTATTAGAGTTCGTAGCCTAAACTGCTGAGCGGATCTCGATGAAATTTGTTTTAGATATACTATAAAGCATAGTCTGGAAGAACACATGGGTTACTCACTTTTTTAATTTCACGTGGACAGAGTCGCGGGCGATAGCTAATATTATATATGTATCTCAAAATACTTAGGGTCAAATTAAGATTTAAACAGGTCGTCTGTTATAACGAAGATCTGCAAGAACAGGATTTCTTGAAAACAGTATATTTACGATCTATTATGATTTGTAACCGAGATTGTTGGACAGATAACGAGTGTAGGTATATAAATATGAATTTGAATATTATTAATTTGCAATTTTATCGCTGCTCCGCCGCCGCTCATACAGCATGTTAAATTACAGCTCAACTGCTGGTCTACCTGTCCCCATCGTACAGCAGTTGTAGTGGAGCTACTATCCGCCATCACTTTGCGTAACCACGATGGTTACGAAGACACCGAAACGTGAGTATCTATAAATGGTATAGTCAGAATAAAAAATCCGGAGTGTCAGTATCCGATATGAATAGCATAAGAAATAACCATTACACCACTAGGATGAACGTAGAAACGAATCACAGGAAGTTGTTAGATAAGCTTTGATAGCGAACAACGGTGTTGGGGGTGTGGTAAAGTAGTGCAGGCCGCGAAGCTCCCCGAGACTTCTGGGTGTCCCGGCCCTCCAGGTCCGCGGTACCTACGGCGCGGCAAGGTCAAGGTCGCGAGCCAAGGACACGCAGCAGGAACAAAGAAACGGCCGCATAATAAACACAAACTTAATACATAACCGCGACGCAGCCGTAATATTGGATAAAGACCGGTTCCGATGAAAATAAACAACTATCGCACGTCGACAATAGGCGAGCCGCCGCTGCGCCGCCGGCCCGGCTATGCTAATAAGATTCTAATAAGTCTCGACATCGTCGCAATTGTGCCTGTGCCTGTGTGTGCGGACACCGCTTTGTTTTGGGGTACCGGTTTCTTATATTATTGCAATGACTCGTGTCATGTGACGAGCTTGTGCCGGGTGCCGGCTGGCGCATGCATAACAAGCAGTAGCAGCACTCACCGGTGTCGGCGCTGTCGGCGCGCTCCGCCTCGTCGTCCGACTCGGTGCCGGAGTCGCGCTCCTCCACCTGCAACAACAAGCGGACCAGCTCAACTCGGGAGCCGATCTATCGCCGGTCACCGCTGCACTGTCTGTTTAACTTCGCCGCACTCGTCGCTCCGAGCTATCGATCTCGATTATGCTTTCTTTAGAGATTTGGAAATCATGTTTGTCAAATACGGGCAGTGTCGAGATCGAATAGCCCGCCGAGATCCGGCGATCGTTCCGCTCCTTTGTTCTCGCGGAGCGGGCGGCCATTTTCTGGTGGCGGTTTGCCGGCGTGACCTTCGCGGCTCGCAGCCGGCCGCTTGCCGCTCGCCGCCAACACCCACCTTCTCGGAAACGTTCTCCTCATTCAAAGAATGTGTTCGCAGCTTGTGAGTCAGAAATTTGAGCATTATTGAGCCTCGGCTCGCTCCGGTCGACCGCCGCGGCCGCCACAGCGCCGCGCGACTCGACACGCACTCAACTCGCGATACTGCCACGAAAATTACGCGATGCGGATTGTAACACGCCTACGGCGAACGTTCCACAGACATTTTAAGACCGAATAACATATCCGCATATCACTCGCCCGATCCGTGCGCCGACCGCTCGCCTCGCACGCCGGACTACTACTAGTCTCGTCGGAGTAGCCTTGCGTACGACGCAGTCAGCTGAAGTGGGCACCACCCATTAATGCCGAAAGGACTTATGAGCGTTCGCGTCAAATACTACTCTTTCGACTGAAATTTGTCGACGTACAGAACGATCATAACCATGGAAATCTATTTAAGTCATTCACGGAACTCGAGATAGCCCAAATATAGTGTAAAAGCTTTTCGAGTGGCACTCGAAATAGACTCGACCGGCGATCCATTGATGACAAAGAACCGGAACATGCAAAGATCGCCCGCGATTGGACAAAACATTACAGAATAAGATCGAATTTAATGCAACATGTGGCGTCCCGCTCGCACGCGGCGCGCCGGCCGGCGGGCGCGACAGGGACGGCGGCGCAGCACGCCTCGGTTACATAACGCTCGCCTGATAGTGCCGCTGATTAAAGTAGCGCATGTACAGGCGTGCTGCGCCGCGAGCCCGCGCCTTCCTCAACGTTAGCGTCGCCAATTCCAAAGCTGGCAAACAAGTTACATTTATGTCTGTCTTATGATATATATAGGCAAAGTAGCTAGAGTTATTATTAATCTGATCTTAGAGTTGGGTTTACCATTTAACATTATTCATGTATGTCTAATTCCTCAAAACACGTTACTTAGTCCAAATCTCTGTCAATACAAACCATCTGTTGTCCGCTGGCGCAGCTGCGCGCACTCGGGCGCAGTTCATAGCGCACATCAGCAACCACTGCTGAAGTTGTTGCGACAAGCTGCGAGCTGCTAGTGACATGTGACGAGCGCGCGAGGCTCCACTATGTCTCCGCCTGTTACCATGATTGTAACTTTGTAGATTTTAACTACGTTTACAATGAAACGAGTGAGAGATTAAATAGGGCCCATTGACCTGTGAAACTTATTTCATCATGTGGTTGCAAGATTTTATTGTTTCATTATTAACTTACTATTCTCGTCAGCGCCAGGGGGGAGAGTGGGGAGAGGACAGGGGAAAGGGTACCTCACATATAATTTCTGCCAATGAAGAGAGTATACAGTTGAGACTCGACTGTGTCGTGCCGGTAAGTACATGGAGTAGACATAACAAAATCAACATTTATTAAAAACATAACGAGAGATGGCGCCCTCCACATGCACCTCGCGCACTTACACAATACATACAACAGTAGATACAAGCAATCGTACAGTACTGCGAAGTGCATTAAAGCCGCTTGTAATTGGTCTGTGGACCGCGCGGCGCCCACTCCGCGTCCATCCGCGACCATCCGCGTCCAGCCGGCGTTCACTGCAGCGAGGAGTGGACGCCGAACTCAGATATACTATCATTTGTATTGGCGTCTTACATCTATAACATTCATACATTTTATTTACCTAAATCGTACAAACTGACAAATCATTGGCTCCTGTACTATCGTATGTATAAAACGAGAATTTTGCAAAACATAACTTCATACTTTTAATTATGATGCTTTGACAACTTACTAATTTACAGATATTACTATTTATCAAAGTGATATAAAAAACTAAACAAAGTGTACATTTACAAATTGTGGCTTACGATAGTGTACATAGGAGCCATCGAAATAATTTTGCTCAATACATTGATGTGGAAAAAGACATTGTAAAAAAGTCACTTTGCGTAAAAAAAATAGAATAATAAAACACTTTTTAAGTATTTTTTCAACAGCTCGCAGTACATTATTAGATAGTCACATAAAGATATGTTTGACTTAACAAATATATAAAGATACGAAGCTATCCTTCATACGAGACTAGTTCCGTATAAAATGTATAACTTTTCTCGTGTAATAACAAGATAACATTGAACAAGTCCCTCGGCAGGATTCATTCTTATGTCTAGATATATAACATTACATAGTATGACTTATGTACAACATTTATATATAAACAAGAAGGCACATACGTAAAGGCACAATCGGTATCAAATAGTCTTTTACCTCATATTTATACTAATTTACTATATTTGAATTCACTCTTAATAAGAAATGTTTGATGTATGTATGGAGGATGGATTCCTCCGAGACATAAAAGTATATATGTTTGTGAACTTGTGTGTTTGTTTGTGACAATGATGTGTCGCAGCGCCGCTCTGAGCTCCTTCGCCCACGGTGACATGTGACATGTGACACGCACACACAATGACACAGTGCACGGGCGAGTGCGGTCACAGGAAGAGCAGCTCATCCTCGAGGTAGTGCGGGTTGTCGCGCACGTACTGCTGCAGCTGCTGCACCGCGCGCTCGAACTG